AATTGCCGGTGGAATCAATGGGTAAAGCTATAATTGAACCTTGAGTTGTGTTCGTGGCATCGAAGTTAGTGTTTGTTCTAACCCTAGCTTAAGGGATTAGGAGTTGTGTCCTATTTGCTATTTGTTTCTTGTCGAGTACAACGTATAGGCATGGTGACGGGTATCTATGCATTGGTGTCAAGCATGACTGTGAGTCTTATCTTGTGATTTTTATGATCTCGTTGTATTATTCATGCCTTGGTGAAGATTTCTATTTGTTGTATAAAGTTGTGGAAAGAATTGTGACCTATAAACATTGAAGAGCGTTGACTCCAGTTGTATAACGAATTGTGAAAGTATAAGTGATAATCGAAACTCTAGAGTATCTCGAGTTGTGAAGTAAAAGTGAGAAGGAGAAGAGATCATTATGTTGCCCCTTTGTCGGGCTATTGTTGAGTTGGGGGTCCCTTGCACTGTGTTCTTAATTGATATTACAGACGCTTAGGTTGATGATTCTTTGTGTTAGGTGTTGTAACAAGTTTGGTTATAGCTGGGTAGTTAGGTGTTGTAACAAGTTTAGTTATAGCTGAGGTAGTTAGATGTTGAAACTAGTTGAGTTATAGTTAAGATAGTTAGATGTTGGAACAAGTTTGGTTATGGTTGTTTCTCCCTTGCCACGATATATATACTTGTACTGTTGAGTTCCCTTGCCGAGATAGTGTAGTCTATTGTTGATCCCTTGTCGGGACGGTTAATTATGATTATTGTTGACTGTATATTTGGAATGGGTTGCGCGCCGCAATATTATTAGATATTATATTGGATTGGGTTGCACGCCGCAACAGATATTATATTGGATTTGGTTGCACACCGCAATAGATATTATATTGGATTGGGTTGCATGCCGCAACAGTTATATATGTGGATCGGGTTGCACGCCGCAACAATGTTAAATGATAAGGGATCGGGTTGCGCGCCGCAACAGTATTGTCAATGTATTGATTGTAGACATCGAGTGTTTTTTCATACTTTATTAAGTTTTTGATATAATTGATATGTTTCCCCGAAGCATGTTTCCTCCTCCCTTTTAAACTGTTATTACCTGTTTATATTTCCGTTGTATATTATATAACTGCATAGGTTTATCTGGAGTCTGGTCCTAGCCTCGTCACTACCTCGCTGGGGTTAGGCAGGACACTTACCAGCACATGGGGTCGGTTGTGCTGATGCTACACTCTGCACTTATGTGCAGATACAGGAGCAGCACTTGGTCAACAGCATTAAGGGAGCCAGCCTTCAGTCCACCGAGATACCGAGGTAGCCTTGCAGGCGTCCGTAGGCCCGGCGTCTCCTCTATCTTCTATTATGTTCTGTTATCTCTTGTATCCGAAACATATAGTGCTTCTTTCTTTCAAATAGTTGTGTGTAGTGATCTTTGTAGTCCGTAGATATTGCGACACCAATTTCTGGGCAGAGGCATGTGTTGACTTTCGAAACATTTTGGTTTTATATTTATTTAAGATTTCCGCTTAAATCTCATATTCCGCTGCCATTTGGATGTTCATCACTTGTTAATATAAGTTGTAAAAAGGATTAAAATAGTAGAGTTAAAGATTTCTAAGTTCGTGGCTTGCCTAGATTCTTCGAGTAGGCACCATCACGACTCCTGAGGATGGGAATTCCGGGTCGTGACAGAGATACGGCCGAAATTTCTCCATCGCGAACACAATAGCCAAAAGCTCTTTCTTAGTCACCTTGTAGTTCACTTGAGCATCATTCATTGTCTTGCTCGCATAGTACACCGGATGAAATATTTTGTTCACTCTTTGACCCAAGACCTCCCCAACCGCAACATCACTCGTGTCACATATAAGCTCAAAAGGCAAGCTCCAATTGAGTGCGGTAATAGTAGGAGTGGTGGTCAACTTGTGCTTGAGAAGTTCAAAGGCTTGCATACATCTCTCATCGAACACAAACTTGGCATATTTTTTCAATAACTTGCATAAGGGATTCACTACCTTCGAAAAGTCTTTGATAAATCTCCGGTAGAACCCTGCATGCCCAAGAAAACTTCTAACTCCCTTGACAGAAGTAGGGGGAGGGAGCCTTGAAATCCCATCAATTTTTGCTTTATCTACCTCTATTCCATGCTTTGAAATTTTATGCCCAAGAACTATGCCCTCCTCAACCTTGAAGTGGCATTTCTCCCAATTAACAACAAGATTGGTTTCTTCACAACGGGCCAACACTCTATCAAGATTTTTCAAACATTTATCAAACGAGTCCCCCACAACACTAAAGTCATCCATGAACACCTCCAAAATATTTTCTACCATATCGGTGAAAATGGCCATCATACACCGTTGAAATGTAGCCGGTGTGTTACACAACCCAAAAGGCATCCTAGAAAAGGCAAAAGTGCCATATGGGCAAGTGAAGGTGGTCTTCTACTGATCTTCTGGAGCAATCAAGATTTGGTTGTACCCAGAATACCCATCCAAAAAATAGTAGAAGGCACGCCCAGCAAGTCGATCTAACATCTGATCAAGAAAATGTAATGGAAAGTGATCCTTGCAGGTCACTTTATTAAACTTGCGGTAATCCATGCACACCCTCCACCCAGTGACAGTCCTTGTTGGAATCAACTCTTTCTGCAAATTTGTAACCACTGTCATACCACCCTTCTTTGACACATATTGCACCGGCGAAGTCCAAGAGCTATCAGAGATGGGGTACACAACCCCGGCATCCAACCACTTGATCACCTCCTTTTTCACAACTTCTTACATTGCCTCGTTCAACCTCCTTTTGTGTTCCAAGGAGGGCTTTGCATCATCTTCCAGAATAATCTTTTGCATATAGGATGCGGGGCTTATCCCCTAAATATCAGCTAAGGTCCATCCAATTGCCTTCTTCCGCTTTTGAAGCACCGCCAATGTGGTATCAACCTGCATGTTAGTAAGACAAAAGGAAAGAATAACTCGAAAAGTTGAACTAGGACCTAAGAACTCATACCTGAGGTGTGGAGGCAACGACTTCAACTCCAACACCGGAGGTTCCTCGATTGAAGCTTTTGTTGGTGGAGTATTCCTATTCTCAAGGTCCAAAGAGATTTTCCTAGGCTCATACGAGTAAGAGCCCATTCCATGTAAAGCATTCACGCACTCCACTCGGCCTTCATCCTCATTTACATCAAGATTCAATAAAACTGCCTCTAGAGGGTCCTCCACATTGATCATTGCATATCATCAACTATCACTGTCGTAACAAGGTCCACAAAAGAGCACACTTCAGAACTGTTAGGCTGCTTCATTGACTTGCACACATGAAAGACCACTTTCTCATCACCCACACGGAAGGTGATTTTCCCTGCTTCCACATCAACTAAGGCCTTCCTAGTAGCAAGGAAAGGTCTTCCTAATATGATTGGAACCTCATAATCTACCTCACAATCCAAGATCACAAAATCAACTGGCAAGATAAATTTTTCCACCCGGACAAGGACATCATTAATAATACCCAATGGTCTCTTTATAGTTGTATCTGCCATTTGCAATCTCATGGATGTCGGCCTCGGTTACCCAATACCCAAAGTCTTGAAAACTGGGTAGGGCATCAAGTTGATACTCGCCCCCAAATCACATAGAGCTTTAGCAAAGTCTGCACTCCCAATGGTGCAAGGAATTGTGAAAGCACCGGGATCTTCTAGCTTCGGGGCCATTGAGTGCACTATTGCACTAACTTGGTGGGTCATCTTGATAGTTTCACAACCCATGGATCTTTTCTTTGTCACCAAGTCCTTCATGAATTTAGCATAACCCAGCATTTGCTCTAGAGCCTCCACCATAGGCACATTAATGGATAAGCTCTTCATCATGTCAATAAACTTCTTAAACTGATTTTTATTTCTCTGCTTCGTGAGCCTTTGAGGATAAGGTGGAGGTGGCTTTGGAAAAGGAGCCTTGGCTTTAGGCACAACCATTTCCGGCATGTTTATTACGTGTTCCCTAGACAGGTTTACGTCATTCTGAGTCTCCACCTCGGCATCTTGAATATCAATCCTCACTTCCTCATTCACATTCTCATCAATCACATTTTCAACCACCAAAGGAATCTCATCTTCTTGCAACTCAACTTCATCACTCAAAATTTCTTTTTGCTTGGAGGCATTCACATCACTGCCTCGTCCACTTATTGTAGTTACCGCCATAACATGATTTTTCCCACCCTTCGTGTTAACTACCGTATCACTTGGTAGAGCCCCCTTAGGATGAGTATTCAATGATTGTGAGATTTGACCTAATTGAACCTCCAAGTTTCTGATTGAAGTATTGTAGAAAGCCAACTAAGCATTAGAGTCCGCATTCTTTTTCATCATCTATTCAAACATCATTTCAATTCTCTGCATTTCATTGTTGGAAGAACTAGGACCTTGGGATGGAAATGGGGGTGGATTGTTCGGTTGTTGATACGTTGGGGCACTACAAAAAAACAGTGTTTAGCAACGGCTCCAATCCGTCGCTGAATCAATGTTTTCCGTTGCTAGAGTTGTTTAGCCACGGATTCACGACGGATTCAAGTTGGTCCCTAAAATGCTCGTAGCTAGGCTTATAGCGCTAAAAAATAACAAACCGTCGCAGAATTAGCGACAACATATATCCGTAGCAAAGTTTAGTGACGGAAATAACCGTCGCTATATTGCTTGTTTCTGTCGCTGTTTTGACGGCTTTCGTCGCTGCAATACATAACAAAATTCGTCGTTTGTTTTTATAGTGACGAAATCATCCGTCGCTAGTCATGTTATAGCTAATTCTCCCTTCTCTTTGCAACAAAACCTTTTGTCACCAATTCATTGCAAGATTTAATTTTACACGATAATTTTAGCTACGAAAAGTATCCGTCGCTAATTTATTTTTAATATATTGCTGATTTTTTTTAAAATTATTTTTATTTATTACTTTAAATGTACTCTGTTCAAGCATATTACATAAAAGCTATTAAATACACTTAATAAAAAGTCATTAATATAAATTAACAATATATTCAACAAGGTCCAAAATATATAGCATAATGTATTTAATAGTATCATTAAGTACAAAAAATCTACAAGGACCAACAATAAAGTCCAAACAAAGTAGGCTAACTATGAGAAGCTGGAGAGTTACGGTCATCATCAGAACCAAATGCATGAACCTCATCAGTGTTAGCAGCAGTAGAAGATATAGGAACTGTAGGTGTCACATCTAATGGGCGGTTGGTAAGACCAGTATTTGGCTGCTGCGAGGGTAAGGAAACTAATTTGTGTACCCGATCAACGATTACATGAACTATATGGCCCGTAGTAGCATTTTTCTTGAGATCCAAGATCATATACTCTTCTTTTCTTTTCTCCTCCCGCGGCTTCATAATATGCTTTACACTGATCAATATCAGATTGAGTTTGTGTTTGTTGTTGTACTATCTCCTGATATTTTTCCTGCAGAAGAGCTAATAATTAGCGAAATAAAAAGACTAAATAAAATATAGCATTCAATTTACAAAATGAAAAAAAATATATGAAAGTAAAGTCAATAAAATTATTTAAAAAGTTATCTTACATGTATGATTCAGGATTTCTCATCAACAAAAGATTTTCCATCATTACCATGTGTATGGACGTGCAAATGCAACTCACTTGGTGTTGGATCTCGATCCCTTTTTAACCGCCTATACAAAAGTTATTCAATTAAGAAGATAGGGCAACAAAAGCAAAAGCTCAAAACTGATATGCATACTATTGAAACACCAAGAAAGAGCTTGTGGTCTGTAACTTTAGTATCATATTGTGACTAGTTAGAGTAGTATTCTCATTTTGAGAAAAATTTCCAAGTAAATCAGAGGTTCACACATAGGTTAAATCCTCACTTCTATTCGATGTATGAATTGACAACCTTATTCAGGATTTCTAAAGACTATAAACAGAGATACTTATGAAGGTAGCAGGTCAATCTTAATCCTAATCCAAACTCATAACATGATCACTCACCCTTTTAAGTTCACATCTCAGATTCACACTAAGCTTATTAAGAGTTGAGAAGTTCATATAAGCACATTGTAGTACTTAAACAGGGCAAGCAAACATCAATGAGTTTCCCTCAAGTTCATAGGTAATCACATGCACAACACCACCACCAAATTAGCAAGATCAAATCCAAAACACATCCTCATCAAAATAATTCATAATAGATATCAAAGAAAAATAACAGGAGTTAACAAGCAGCTACATATTTCCCACTCTCACAAAGAACTTGAATTATGCTTTGCATAATAAAGAATCACAAGAATGTCTTTTTATCTTGACTCCTAAAATCCTTACATAATCATCAAAATTATCAGCAGCAGATAGCATAAACATATAACAAAAAAACTAAGATTTTTAACTCCACCCCCAACACCAAAATGGAAAATAGCAAAAAGGTAGGAAAAGACAAGAACACCACAAGCAATCTTTTTTAATAAATAACAAGAAAATTACCAAGCACTTAAAAGTCGAAACATGTTAATTAAAATAAACAATTATGTGTGAACACTTACAGTAAGGCCAGAGAAAAGATCTGAAAACAGTGAAGTATAGATATGCAAGAGAAGGTTTATAATCTGGATGAAGTTTCAGTTTTTTGCTTTTTTTTTACTTCTTACTTTTATGTTCAGAGGACACGATTTTCACTCATCTTTGGTCAGAGACAAGAGACCCACCACACAGGGCAAGCACAACATTAATGATGAAGCACATTTTAGGTATATTAATAGCATTATTAATCCAAGAGACAGATAGCACAAAAGCAACAAGTACAATTTTTAACCAAACATTAAAGAGGAGTTAATAACATAACTTAAATTAGGCTTATGAGCAAGGTACCAACTGACAGAAACATATGGAATCACTACAGCCATAGAAACTCACTAAGATTTAGGTTAATCATTTTTTAGAAGGCACTTATCCAGTAGAGTCTATAAGTGTAGCTAAGCAGGCATATGAACATGAAAATTAACAGGAGACTTTATGGTGTTTTAAGGATCCATGGAATTGCAAGACATACTTAAATAGCAAAGAAACTAACAACCAAACTGATAGTCATGATAGCAGACTTGTACAAGAACCTCTAAGTATACAGAACTACCATAGTTCTAACTCCATCAAAGCAAATAGATCAAGTGCATGGTATACATTTACTAAGCAGAAAAATTTCCAAGTAAATAAATGAATTACGCAGCCAATATTTTTACACAGTAAATATTTTATACAATTCTTACATAGGTGGACGAAAATTCTTACACAAAACATCACGAGTTCCAGACACACAAAATTATATGAATTCTTATACAAATATTTTATACAATTACAGCTCGATTCTAACAAAAAGATAAACTCAAATCCAAACTATGCACAAAATTCATATGTTATCTAAGCACCCCCACAATAAAATTCACACAAAGCTCAAAACGTTTTACATAATTACTGCTAAAAAAAACAGAAAAAGTAATTTTTTAAACAATTACAACTCCATTTCCAACAAAAAATAAACTCAAATTCAATTTATGCACAAAAATAATAGGGTTACCTCAACTTGTTTTCTGGTAGTTCTTGAATGAATCTGAAGCCTTCACTATAACAAAATTGCTTCTTCGAAATTAAGAATTCTTGTGAAAAATAAGATGAACCATTTGGCCTGTTTGACCAAGATTGAGAAAAAGAATTCTTTTTAAAGGAACCACTGTGTGAGTTTTTAACATTATAACAAGTTTAAAGATGGTAACTACCAAGAAAATTACATGAAGACATGGCTATTTTTGAAGAATTTTTCCGAGGGGGAAAAACAATAACAAAGAGTAGAGAAAATCTGGAATAAAGATGGAGAAACTTTGACAAGAAAACACAAAAATAAAGCACAAGACAGGATGAACATGATTCTCGCCCAGATCTACAATGCATGAATGAAATTACAAAGAAGTTTACCTTATCAAGGACATACAATCCCTAAAATCAACGCACAACTTTGAATTTCAGCTTCATGTCTGTGAGAAAAGACAAACGCGTGAGGAATTAATTGAAGCATCTAATAGAACAAAGGAGAAAGACATTATAGAAAAAGATGGAGAAACTTTGAAAAGAAGTTTTCGAGCTTAAAATAGAAAACTCAGATCTAAAACACGAAACTTTTGGGGAAAATTACTATTCAAAATTTAATTGTAGTGTCAGTTTTTGAGCTTAAAATCGCTACTCAAACACATAATCGATGATTTCTTAAAGAAAAAGCCGACCGCCATTGTCAGACGATGTTTGGGTTGAAACAATCATTGGAGATCTGAAATTATTGGTTAGACTCAATTGAGTGTTGAAACTATTTTTACAAGCTTGATTCCGAAGTTTTGAAATGATTGGAATTGAAATGTGAGGAAACAGGCACGCCAAGATCAAGCAAGCATTTCTAATTTCAACCCAAGAAAAATGACAATGAATAGTTGTAAGATTCACGCCCAATTTTTGGTATTTGAAGAATAAAACTCACATTTGTTGAAAAAAAGTGAAAGTGGGAGTCTGATAGAGAGGAGACGAATTGGGGTATTTGTGCCCTAATGGTTGGAGTCTTTTAACTAGGGTAATTTTATTTTTTGGACAGAAATTTAGCAACGAAAATAGCGACAAACCAAAATTTTATCGCTAAAATAATTAATGAAATTTTATTTTAGAAAATTTACGACAGAATATTTTGTCGCAGCTAACTTTCGAATGTATTGATAAGTAAAATAAATTCAATGACGGATTTTTTGTCGTTAAATTCGTCGCTAAGTTTTAATAAATTTTGTTGCCCAACTTTCGTCGCTAATTTTGTAGGTAAAATAAAGGCGCTAATATTTAGCACCAATTTTAGCGACAAATATAAGTTTTTGTCGCTAATCCATCGCTATATTTGATACGAATTATTTTGTAGCTTATTTGGCGACAAACTATAAAATTTGTCGCTAAACCGTCGTTATTTAGCTATGGAATATCTCTTGTCGCTAAATTCCGTCGCTAAACGCTGTTTTTTTTGTAGTGGGGGCCTTTGAAAGCCTTGCCCCCGATTTCCTTGATTGCCATTGTTCCAACCACCCTGATTGTTGTTACCACCCCAGTTGTTGTTGTTGCCATTCCAATAACCTGATTGTTCTGATTGCCCCAATTGGAATTTTGGTTGTTGTTTCCCCAATTATTATTTTCTTGTTGTTGTTGATTGCCCCAATTGCCTTGGGGTCTCCATTATTGTTGGTTGGAAGAATTGCCTTTTTGGCCCTGATAATTGTTCGCATATTGCACTTCTTCATTCTGCCCATCATAACCATCATCTTGGAATCCACCACAATCATTGTCATATTGATCCGAACTCCCTTGGTTCTATTGACCTCTTTGTCTTCTTTTGTTCACAAGCATGTTGACACCCTCCGTAGCATTTACTTGGCGCAGATTTTGAACATGTTGTAACTATGCCTTTGCTAGCTGATTTATTGTTGTTGTCAGCTCTGTTATAGCTTGCCCATGATCATGTAGGTCTTTGTGCAAGTGAGTGACCGTGGGGTTACCCTGTGACACATTGGCTCTACTTTGCCAAGTGGAAGACGTGTCAGCCATCTCGTCAAGAATGTCACAAGCCTCATCATAAAACAGCTTCATGAAATTACCCCAGCAAGTTGGTTCACTATGCACTGATTTGTTGTGTTAATGCCCCGGTAAAATGTCTGTTGTATCATTTCCTCAGTCATATCATTGTTGGGACATTCCTTTACAATGGTTCTATATCGCTCCCATATCTTATGTAATGGTTCGGTGGGCTCCTGCTTGAAAGCTAAGATCTCATCTCTCAATGCTGCCATGTGCCCCAGCGAGAAAAATTTTGCAATGAATTTATCCGCCAACTCATCCCAAGTAGTGATGGAATGGTTGGGAAGCCGTTCAAGCCAATCCAATACCTTCCCTCTAAGTGAGAAAGGGAATAGTCTCAACCGAAGTGCATCCTTTGACACATTAGTTTGCTTGCTGCCCAACAGGTATCCACGAAACCCTTGAGATGTTTGTAAGCATTCTAATTGGCAGCGCCCGTAAAATACCCTCACTGCTCCAACAATGTCAGCATCACATTTGTAATTTGAAAATTGCCCGCCCTGATCCGGGGTGGGACAATTGCACTTGCATATCCTTGGTTGGGAAGCACTCGAGGAGCCACTCTTGGAGGTGGTGGGGGAGGGTCTGGAATATTATTATTGGTCTGGTGGCCTCTCCTTTGTCCTTGAGGTACAATAGGAACCTCATCACCAACATTGTCATCTACCTCCTCCCCCAACGGAAGATCTCCAAGAGGTGCATTGTTTGCTGACATTTTTGTACCTGAAGTTGTGACACACACAAATTAGTAACACAGAAGGAAAGAAGAACAATACGCAAATCTATTTAGATATATAGCCCAAACCGTTAGCTCCCCGGCAACGGCGCCAAAAAGTGATCGGAGCCAACCCTACACCACTACGAAGTGGTGAGAGCGATCGAAGCAGCTTTTATCCGAGATGGTCGGGATCGAATCCACAAAGAGCTAGAAGTGGGTAGATTCCTATCTAAACTAGAGATGCGTATTGCTCTTAATTACTCTTCCAATCATCTTTTGTTTGGATATTAATTCTAATGTTTATGTTAATGATAAGCTAAATTAAACTAAGAATGATTGCTTGTAGGATTTTCTAATCAGTTAAAAAGGCACTAGGGAAGTGACTTTCTCCTAGGTGAATACTTGACGGGATCTAAAGCCTAAGGCAAAGACGTTATGTTGGGAATTGTGATATAGCCAATGCACAGAATTACTCACTCTATACATCTCGGTAGCTTGAGTGACTTTGCCCTAATTGACTTTCTTAAGACCAATTGGGTGTCAAAATTGTGCTAGCAATATAAGCTCAAGTCGGGTATTACTATCTCTAGGTTTAACCCTTTAATTGAGGCTATCAATCTCTTGATTACGCCCCAATTCCTTATTGGACTGATTTTCCTAGGCTAAAGTTCTCTTTCTCAAGAAGAACCCAAGTCAAATAGGCACAAATTAGTGTTTGCAACCACTAATTCAACATAAAAAATACAAATCAATCCAAATATCAACTACCCATAAATATGTAAGCCTCAAATCAAAAGACCCATCAAATATCCACACTAGGGTTGAGCCACAACCCTAGCTAATGGGTTTAGCTACTCATCATAATGGAAGAAAACAAAGAAATAGATGAAGAAAAACCCATAAGATTTAATTACAAGCTAAAATAAAGAAACTTCAGTGTTAAAGTAGCTACAAATTGCTCAAAATAGTCAAAAACCTCCGTTCACGAGCTCAGCTGAAAGTCAGATTACAAAAGATGACATAAAATGGGAAAAGAAAGTATTTATACTAGGCCGAATTTTCTGAATAAAAATACCCCTGCGAAGGTAGTGCGGTCCGCATAAAATGCACCGCGGACCGCAATGAGGCTTTTGGCTTCCAGTCTTTGCTCTCTGAACTTGGCCACCGTGGGTCGCATAAAATGCACCTTGGCCGGGGTGGCTTCAACTGCGGTCCGCACAAAAAGGACTGCGAACCGCATTGGCATTGATCTCAAAATTCCAAACTCTCTGAACCCCATCTTTGCGGACCGTACAATCTTGATTGCGGCCGCGTTGAGGCCATTGCGGTCCGCACAAAATGCTTTGCGGCCGCATTGCTTGAGTTTCCAAAATATGCTCCTCTCTAAATCTCCTCACTGTGGACTGCACCAAATAGAGTGCGGCCGCAGTGGATCTGTTGCACTGTGCTTGGACTTGTTCTTGGTACTTGTGCATGTTTCACTCTTTTTTGAGCTGGTTTTGACTGATTTTCACCTTTTTTACCAAACCCTGCAAACAAGTACAACATGTAAGCCTTTGGGACTATTTTGTACACATTTTTAATCAAAACTCAAGTAAGAAGGAGTGTAAAATGAACCATAATCCCTAGTTATCATATAGTAATGTTACTTTTGAGAAGGAATCTGGTCAAGATTTAGGGGGCTGTGAGGGTTTGAGAAGTGCCAATAACAGTGTGCCTACAGCTGTTACTACTGATGATAGTTCAAACTCCTCATCTGAATCAAACTCATCTGAATTTAGTAGCAGCACTAATAATATCTCAGATTCAGAGCATGAGGAGCTGTTTGAAACAGAAGAAGCTTATTATGGCAGTGATACACATGAGTATTACAGGGAATTTAGGGCAGAAAAAAGGATTGTAGAGAGAAGGAAGAGGAAAGAACATGTTAAACTAGGTAAGAGAGGGCCAGATATAGGGTATAATGAATATGAATATAGGTAAGAGAGGGCCATTTTGTCACGCCCCAAACACGGGGAGGCGTGGCTGGCACCCGGTGCCGAACTGGCTCGAGCGAACTACTCTATAACTCATTTTTTCCTTCTGCGACTATCATGGGCCAACTTGGCCACAACCCGCAATGTATAACTATAAGTGGGCAACACTATATTACTGAACTATTTTTCTTAAAATATGAATACTATGGGCCATCAAGGCCTCTGACATACTGTACAAAATGAACCTCTGTCTACAAAGCCTCTAAGATTATTTGACATCAAATGGGACAGGGTACCAGCCTACCCATAAGTATGTAGCAAAACTCTAACATGATGACTCATAGACTCGCCTGCACTCCGAATGAGGTGGAGTCTTACCGATCCTTTGCTGAATGCCAATCTTGTCTACTATGAGGGCTCGTCATACTGATTATCTATACATGTTGATACTGACTCAACTCTCTTAATATAGTAAGTAAAATAGTTGTACGTCCCTATAAGGCTTGGTATATATACAACTGCTCTGTCGTAGTAGGCTCGCTCATAGGCGCTCGGCCATATGAGGCTCTGTATCTCGATCAACTGGGCTCGCTCATAAGCGCTCAGCCACGATAGGCTCGGTATGTATATAATTGCTCTGCCGTAGTAGGCTCGCTCATAGGCGCTCGGCCATACTAGGCTCTGTATCTCGACCAACTGGGCTCGCTCATAAGCGCTCGGCCACAGTAGGCTCGGTAAATATATAACTACTCTACCGTAGTAGGCTCGGTCATAGGCGCTCGACAATACTAGGCTCTGTATCTCGACCAACTGGGCTTGCTCATAAGTGCTCGACCACAGTAGGCTCGATATATATATATAACTGCTCTGCCATTGTAGGCTCGTTCATAGGCGTTCGGCCATACTAGGCTCTGTATCTCGACCAACTGGGCTCGCTCATAAGCACTCGGCCACGGTAAGCTCGGTCTATATATAACTGCTCTACCATAGTAGGCTCGTTCATAGGCGCTCGACCATACTAGGATCTATATCTCGACCAACTGGGCTCGCTCATAAGTGCTCAGGCACAGTAGGCTCAGTATATAACTTACCATCTTATCAGAGGTTGCCCAATAGGGGCCTGCCCATCGATTATAGCTTGATGGTAATAAAAATACTTTAATACTGTAT